CAAGAATCTGAGATCGTCTGATTCCCCTTTGTAAAACGTTCATTTTTACCATATTGGCCCTTTGCGGCCCCTACCCCCATTTTCTTCCATATCCCCCCAGGACGGCGTCGGCAACTGCCGAGAGAGGCCCAAGAGGGCCCACAGACGGCCCAGGAAACGCCCAAAACGGGCCACGAGGGCATCCAGACGGTTCCAAAATGGAGCTGGGAGGGCAACTTGTTGTCCTTTGGCTCCGACGTTCCCTCATCGTGCTGCAAAAACCACCCAGGAGGGCCCCAGGGAACCCCAAGCGAAGCCCAAAACGCCCCCAATAGGCTCCCAGACAATCCCCACGAGGCCCATACACTACCTCCAAGACGCCCCCGTCACGCCTCAAAACCAAATCGTGGCTCTGATGTTCCTCCTCCTCCTCCTCCTCCTCCTCCTCCTCCTCCTCCTCCTCCTCCTCCTCCTCCTCCTCCACTTATTTGACTCCCCTTCCGCCTCTCCCCCATATTCCCCCTGCTCATCCTCCTCCTCCTCCTGTTCCGCTTTCACTTTATTTGTGTTGTTTCATCGGTTTCGTCCTCCCTCTCGCTCGCACCCCCGCTGCTCCTACTGCAACGGGCCATGGCACGGGCGCCTGACTGGTATCATTTGCGCGCCGTGCATTTCAGGGTGCCCTTCTTTTCGTCACGCGCGACATAGCTCGCGCCCACGGAGAAAGCCGACTTCGGCAATTTCATCTGGCACTTGCCATTTTAGTGAAAGGCCTGCCAACTGCGCGAAGTGAACCCTCCAAACACCGAAAGGCACCGTCAAAACCTTGAACTCAATTAAGGGGTCGGCGGATGTGGCGTAAGCCTATATAGAGCAAGCAAAGCAAATCCACGTCCGGAGGTGACGTGTTGAGCGGCAGCGTTTTCCGGCGAACGCCTTAGCGCAACGTATCCAATTTATCCAAAGACTGCAGCAATGCAACATATCGTATTGTGTTACACTTTTGTCTCCCCCTTACCCCCCCCAGGGGTTACGCCACATCCGTCGACCCAAATGGCCACCCCCAAATGGGGCTCAAAAGCGTACCAAAACCTATGTAAAATCGGCGATTCGGGACTTTGGGCCCTATGGGAGGCCCAGTAAAGCCGCAAGACGGCTCCATATGGCTTCAAGACGGGCCAAGACGGCTCCAAGACGGTCCACGATGGCCCAAAAAAAAGACCCAAGAAACTCTTAAGACGTTTCAGGACGGCCCCAAAACGACCCCCAAGAGTGCCTCCAAAAGCCAAAATCAAGAATGCTCCTATAGGTTTTGAATGATTTTACCGATATCGCCTTTCTCGACTTTCAGAAGCCCATGGCCGCCCAGGCAGCCGCCAAAATTGTTTCAAAAAGGCCGAAGAAGCCCCCGATAGAGCCCCCAAGCGGCCCAGGAGGGCCCCAAGACGGCCCAAAGAGGCCCCCAAGGCGGTCCAAAAAGACCCTGAGACGGCCCAGGAGGACCCCATGAGAACCCCAAGGCGGCTGCGAGAGGCCCCCAAGACGGCCTCCGAAGGGGCGGAACGGCGCAAAAGCGCAGGCCCAAGACGCCCCCTAGAGGCCCCGAGAGGCCCCCCATTGGCCCCCAAGGGGCCCCCCAAAAAAACCCAGACACCTCCAAAAAATCCCCAAAACGCCCCCACAAGGCCACACAACGACTGGACTGCAATGATATTTTTCTCCCCCTGGGCGAACCGCGGCGGAGCGCCAGCCAGGTGGAAGTTGGTCACGGCGGCGCCCATGATTAGAGCCTGCGCCGGAAGGGAAGATGGGGAGGGAATATGACAAGCTAGGTGCGTTCGCGTCATATCTGACGTCCTACCCCTCCCTCCCATCCCTTACCATGGCGCTGATTTTCTTTATCCGCGGACGCGTGTCGTAGCGGACCTGTGGCTCCGCGCGCGCGCGTGCGTAGTTGGTGGTGGTGCACGTGCGTGCGTGCGTGCGTGTGTGCGTGGTTGTCGTGGTGGTGGTGGTGGTGGTAGTGGTGGTGGTGGTGGTGGTGGTGATGGTGGTGGTGGTGGTGCTGGTGGTGGTGGTGGTGCTGGTGGTGGTGGTGTTGGTACTGGTGCTGGTGCTGGTGGTGGTTGTGGTGGTGGTGGTGGTGGTGGTGGTGGTGGTGGTGGTGGCGGTGCGGCGCGGTGGTGGCGGGCGGATGGGCGCGCGAGAAAAAGGCCCGCGCTGGGGCGAGAACGCCATCCTGAACGACGGAGGCCAAACACCGATCCGAAAATGAGGCCCACGCTGCAGCGGGAGCACGATTCGGAACGATTCGGGAGCAGAAATGAGGCTGGCGCCTCAACGAGAGCAGCATTTTGGGAAAAAATGATGCTGGCGCCTCAGCGAGAGTCGTTTCCCGGGATTTCCCGGGAATCCTGTGTGTAAAAAAACAGTACGCGGAGGGTGCGCGGCCATCACCCGGACGCCATCAGGGGAAGAGGGAAAGTATTTTCATATTGAATAATTGTAAAGGAGGGGGGGGGGCCCAAAAAAGTCCCCAAGATGCCGAAAGAAGCTCCCAAGAGGCCTCCAGAAGGCCACCAGGAGGCCCCCAAGAAGCCCCGCGAAGACGTGACTGTACGTGCTCCGGACGTGCACCCCGCGAAGCTAGCGGAATTCGCCGACCCCAGAGGCGCGTAACGATAAGTACGGGCCAGAGCCACGAACCCTGCGCCAACCCTACGATTATTCGCCCAAACCCGATCGATACCCCCGTCCTGGCCCCTGCATCCCCGCCCTGCGGAGCCTTTATCCTTGGGACCCCCCACCGCGCAATTCCTTGCCCAAAACCAACCGATACTCCCCTCCTGGGCCCGGCATCCCCGCCCACGGAACCTCTGTTGCTGGGGCCCCCCACCACGCAATTCCTCGCCCAAAACCTACCGATACGACCGATGCCCCCCTCCTCGCCGCAACATCCCTACCCCGTGGAACCTCTTTTCTCGGGCCCCCCCACCGCACAATTTTTCGCCCAAAACCGACCGATGCCCCCCTCTTCGCCCTGGCAACCCCACCCCACGGAACAGTTTTGTTTTCGGGCCCTGTAATTCCTCGCCCTGAACCCGCCGTGTCTCGCGCGCCCACACCCCAGACACCCCTCGGAACCTCTGCTCTGGAACCGCTCCCGCCGTGCAATTCCTCGCCCAGAACCCACTCCGACCTTCGCCGTGTCTGCCCCACACCACCCCCTTATCGGGGCCCCACCACCCTGCAATTTCTCGCCCGGAACGCACCCCGATTTGCGCATCCCCCCCGGGCACGCGACTGATCGTCGCGAGTGGCCCGCGCGAATCTCTCCCAGGCAGGCGACTGGTCGTCGCAAATTTACGCCTGGAAATGGAAAGGGGGGACGCGGGGGGCATCATCTCGAGGCAAAGTGTCATCTGTGATCCATCCCCAGGTAGGCGACGAATCGTCGCAAGTGCCCCGTGCGAATCTTCCCCAGGCAGGCGACTGATCGCCGCGAATGTATTCCGAGAAACGGGGGGGGGAGAGAGGGGGGCATCATCTCCAGGTAGGCGACTGATCGTCGCAAATAATGCATCCGCGAATTATCCCCAAGTGGGCGACTGGCCGCCCCGCGATGCGGTGTGTCAGCGCCAGGCGCAAGCCCCACGGCGCGGGCCGACAAAGGAACGCGGGCCAGGCGAGGGACAGAAACAAGCAGGACAGCGAGACACCGAGGAGCGAGCTGGGGAGAAGGCGAGGGAGGGGGGGCGACAGGGAAGGACAGACCGGGCCGACAGACGGAGGAATGGGAAAACGGGGGGGGGGCCAAGGAAAGGGGGGGGGAAGGGAGAATGAGAGAGAGAGAGAGAGAAAGAGATATATATATATATATATAGAGAGAGAGAGAGAGAGAGAAAAACAAAAAAATAAGTGAAAGAGAGAGAGAGAGAAGAGAAAGAGAGAGAGAGAGAGAGAGAGAGAACACGCAACGCACAAGGGCAAGGAAGGAAAAAAGGCAAAGGGAAGAGAGGGGGAGGAAGAGGAGCGACAAGGGGCCGGGGCCAAGGCAAGGAAGGAGGCAAATCAAAAAAACACCCCAAAGGTAGCGTAGCACCCCTGCAACGCTAGAAACACGCTGCAGCCGCACCTATGGATGCAGTTGGGCCTCGGCCGCATCAGCAGCCCTTGGGGCGACGGTCCCCCCGATCGGGGCGCGCTTGAGCGCCGCCTGGGCGCTGGCTCGACGCCTCGCCATCTCCGGCCTGAGTTTTGCGCGCGAGCTGCTGCAAAACTTGGATGCCCGATGCCCCCGGCCTCCGGACCGTTCGGCGACCATCGGCACGAAGGCGATCCCCCGCCGGGATCGCTGCGCCTCCGCGTTGAGGGCGGGCCGCGTGCAGTCCGCGAAAAGCCTCGCTGCCAACCCGGCGACCTCGCTCGCCTGCTGGAGGGCAGCCTGCCGCTGTGGCGGCGCGATGGCCGGGCCCGCTGCTGCTGGGGGCCCGCCGCGCCAAGAAAGCAAAAACACGTTTGCCGGGCGACGCTGGCCCAGGTCGGCCGCCACGCCCGGCCGCAGCGGGGGGGCCCGGCCCCTTTCCAGGTCTGGCCAGCATCCCGCGGCAGCGGCGTAAAAATACGTCAAATTCCGAGCCGCGTGGTGCGCCGCGCTCTTGTCCCCGCCGCAGGTGCAGACCGAGCAGTGGAAAGCGCGCGCGCCCAGCACGCTGTCACACAGGGGGCGGCAATCCTCTTTCTGGAAGACCTCCGAGGCCAGACGGCCCTGCACCTCGGTGCAAAATTCGGCTGGCTCCACGCTGCCGGTCTTCATGGCCTTGCTGGGCGTAGCTGCCGGGAAGCCGGAAGCGCCGGGTAAGGTCTCCGACAATGCTGCGGCCCGAATGGCGGGGCTGGCACGCGCCAGGCGGTAGCGTACGCTCGCCTTTTTTAGCGCGTCGGACAGCCCCCTGTGCGAAACTGGAGAGGTGCCCACAAACTGGCGCGCCGCCAGCGCCAACAGCTCTGCCTGCAGCGTAGCGGCCGCGCGCTGGAGGCCAGAACCAATATCGCCTGCATCCCAACGGCAGCGGGCGTCGATTTCGGCGCAGAAGTCCCCAGTGGCGACGCGCAACGCGAAGTGTGCAGCTGCCGAATGCAGCAGCGAGCTCCGCAGGCCAAGCCCTGCGCGTCGGAAGCCGAGCGCGGCCTGCAACTACTCGTCCGCGGTCGGTTGGAAGCCAAACATGTCAGCGGAGGCGTCGCGGGCCGAGCCGTCGAAGGCGGCAAGGGAGCAGCCGCCGCCGCCGGGTCCACGGCGCGCGCTGCGTACGCCATCTTGCAGAAGCTAGCGCACTGCCGCAGGAGCCAGTAGCCGACCTGCGGGCCCAGCAGTTCGGACGCAGCCTGCGCGGCAACTCCGGTAGCGGCAGCCCGTCTGGCGAGCTCCGCGCTGCAGTGGCCCGCCGGACCAATCGGGGCACCCAGAAGCTGGAAATCGCAAAACATGTTTACCCCGCCCTCGCCAGCCCCCTCGTCTCGCAAGAGCGCCGGCGGGAAGCGCGCCGCCCAGCGACGCGCTAGGCCAACGGCCAACCAGGCCAACCAGCGCCACGCCAACCAAGCCCTTACGGCCCCAGCGACACGCTAGGCCCAGCGAGCGGATGGCGCATCTCCCCGCCCGGCGGCGCACGAGGCCAGGAAGAGCTCGGGACGTAAAGCGAAAAGGGGGGATGCAGAGCTTCGATGCACATTCCCCGCCCAGCAGTTGCAACCTGCTGGTCACATGCTGAAGCGAGACGTACGCAATGACCAGGCTTCAAGCCGATATCGCAGTTGCGTGGATTGCTCATTAGCCGTACTTCAGCCAGACGTTCGAAACCATGCTCGGTAAAGCTCGACGCATACACGCCGAGCCCAAGATGGCAAAGAAAAAGCGACGACCTCGGGCTCGCAAGCTGGGGCAAGGTCGGCTGCGAGCGAGGCCGCCGAAACAACGTCTCTTGGGCCCGTCGGAGAAGCTGCATGGCGGGCCGCACGTCGTCTCGCGCGGCGGACCGTCTCGACTGAGATGGCATCGTCGCTGTCGCCCCTGACGACTATGCCAATCATGACTGTACCAACTTCACTGAGTATCATCCGGGGGGCAGCGCTGACTATGCCAACCATGACTGTGCCAACCTCGTCGTTGCTGCCACTCTGGCCAAGCCCCGTCATAATGCCACGCGCTCATTTCAGAAATGCGGGTGTAAAACAGGAAACCAAAACGAAAGTAGTCGGGAAATATATGGCATTGGCATTGGCCTCCTGTCGGCCCGCGGCTTGACCCAGAGCGGTTTGAGCCAGAGGGGGCTGCGGAACTGGTGGGAATACTTGTTGGTCAACAGGCTCGCGGGGCGGGTCGAAAGCCGTCCGAACACTAGTCGGGCCGCGACTAGGCAGCAGGAAAAGAAAGGCAAGCGAAGCGAGCGAGCGGGCAACCACTCAGAAAGCCAGAATCGATACTCCCAAACCTGGTGGCGCTGGAAATCCCGGAGGCGACCAGCAAGTAAGCGCAGCCAAAATGGCGCGGCGGCGCGACCATAAACACGCAGAGGTCGATCGCTCGGTGTGAGTCAGGCAAATAGCACCGTCACAAGAGTGAAGAGGGGCAACCTCATCACCGACTGGTGGGGATACTTTTGTCGCAACCGCAGGCGAGGGCGCCAGCGGCGAGTGAGGTCCGAGCGGGCCGCGCAAGAGCCGATGACTGGTGGGGATACGTTTTCCTCGCGGGCGCAAGCGAAAGCGCAGGCGCCGTGGTGAAAGGTCCGGGCCGCGGGCCGATCCAATTACACGCGCGGGCGAGGCAAATTAAGCGGGCGGGCTGCCTAAACTGCCAGCGCGGACGACGTGAGGGGAGGAGCTACGCGCGAGCCAAATTACACAGCGACCGAGCGCGGGATCACAAACCTACCGCCGGGGGGGGAAGCTGGCTGAAGCTGAGCTGGCTGACTTGACTGCAAACGGCCAGGGTAGCTGGCTGCACACGTGCGAGACCCAGAAGAACAACCGGGTGAATTGGATCCTGCACGCCAGGAGACGTCGTGAACTGTGCTGTAAGATACAGACCAAACGTCCGCCCAGCGAGGCTGTGCCACCAGACGGTCAAATCCAGGAAGGCAGCGCGCAATCAGGAAAACAACTGGTGGGGAGACGCGAAGCGTCAAGAATTGCACCCATATGCCAAAACCGACAAAAGGACAGCTGGAGCTAAATCGAACGTTTAGCTGTAGCTGCCGCCCATGCGTGATTTAGTATGGAGCTGCACACACTTAGATCCAACAAATGAAAAAAACGCCATATCAAGCAAATGCTGACGGGCTATGCCGACATACTCATTTGACGCAGGAGCTGATGGCAGCAAAGGTGAGCAAGGCTGAGATCAATGCAAGCAGGCCCAGCTGCACACTGCTAGATATAAACACGAAAACTATTAGCTAGCATCATACCGAAAGCCACAGCATCTTAACATTCAGCTAGAGCAAAACTGCCAGAGCTGAACTGAGCAAGGGATCGGTAAATCAAGCGGAGGCTAACATGAACAACAAGTGTGGCAGCCGCGCGGATAGCAAATGTCGATAACCCCTCACACATCCGAGCCTCCATAGCAGGCTTTCCCCCACGACAGGTCGGCGCATGAATGCCACTCCGCCTGAAGAAACAATGAGATAAACAAAACAATCACCGAACGCAATAGAGAAAAGGCCTCCCCTGGCCATGCCGACGGACTTGTCTTCTCTCCGAGGGCCAGGGGCACCGTTTGAACACGACGCGGGTCATATCAGGCTGCCGACAGCAGTACCGCCCCTGCCCCCAGCCTGTCCGACTTCTCTCTGATCACCGTCGCGCCGATCTGCGCGAACACATCCCTCTCGCGCGCCTGACGACGCCGCGATTCGCGGCTTTCACTGCGAGACTCTCTCCCTCTCCCCCTCCCTCCCTCCGTCCCTTTATTTTCCTTCTCTCTCTCTCTCTCTCTCCCTCTCTCTCACTAGTCCTCCCTCTCTCCCTCTTTCCCTCCTGCCTCGGCAGCGCAGCCGAAACGAACCCTGGCAAGTCCCATCACTTCCACGCGTGGTTGATTGACGCCGGATGCGACGGGGGAAAGAAGGCCGGGGAGAGGAGAGAAGAAGGGCACTCGAATCGCACGAGAGGGGGGGAGGTCGTCAAGGGCGGGTTGGCAAATCAGCTCACGTGGCAGGTGTCCCTGGCGCCTCCCAGGCGGAGTTTGGCATTTCCCGGCACTTCCTGGAACCGCCCGATGCCCTGCAGAGGGAATGCGCCGTCCAGGGGCCTCCCCGGGCGCTCTGAGGAGTTTATGGGCGCATCCTCGGGACGCTTGCGGCGCCTTCGCTTGACTTTTTGAACCTTCCAGGGGCCGCCCGAAACGCTGCCGAGACCATGGTCGCAATACCCCATAAAAAGCTGAGAAAGATCGAGCGGGAGCGCTGTTCTTGTCGGGGCAGGAGCGCGCCCGGCGGCGAGGCCGAAGCCGGTGGCGTGCCACAGGCTTCAGCAGCGCAGCGGCCCTGCGGATGCCGCGCCGCCCTCCGCCGGCCTCCCGCGGGTCCCCCAGTCGAGGGAGGCCGCCTCGAGGAGGTCGGCTCCACGTAAGAGTGACCCTGGGTAAGGGTGGCCTTGGGTGCGCGGCTGTTTGGGGGGCCGCGGGGGGGCCAAACGCCGAACACAAGCGCTCTGCCGCCTCGCGTTCGGCGATCGGGGCACCCCAATGGGCCCGCACCAGAGGTCACTCCGGCGAAGGGTCACTCTCACGTGCAGTCGAGGAGGGCCCCGGGTCGCCGCTCGGCTGCCACGACCCTCGGCCCCGCGCCGGCCTCGCCGCACTCCGCCGGCGACTCGGGCACACGCTGCAGCATAGGCAACGGGGCCACGGATCTGGCGCTGGCGCGCGGGCGCCAGATCAACAGATCGGGGAAGTACAGTACAGTCGGGGCGTTGACCTAAGGAACGATGCCACTTTTCTCCACGCACTGAACTTCGATCTCCCATGGAAAACCTGAGGAAAACCTGGGGAAAACCTAAGGGAAAGTGTGAAACAACTAAGGAACACGGAGCCCCTCCCCAACGAGAAGGGTTCCTTTTTCAGCGCCCCGACTGTACCTCCCAAAACATGAAGCCAGCGACGCCTGGCTTAGCGACGGACAGCGCCGATGCTCTGTGGAAACGGGGTCCGTCGCTGATCCGCGCGCCTGAATCCATGGTTGCAGCTCCTCGAGCCACCCCCTTGTGGAGGATTGGACGCTCGTTCTGGGGACCTTCCTGGAACCACTCGCTCCACTCATGCGTGGATGCTGCGTCGAACGTCCGTCGACTGTAAGTCGGCTTCGAGTCGAACAGATCCGTTAGGTGGAACCCTGTAAGGTCCCCAGAACGAGCATAACGAAGAGGCCCCGTAGAAATCCCCAGAAGCCCCCTGGCCGCCTCTCGATGCCCCGTGCGAGCTTCCTGGAGCCCTGGTCGCCAGAGGAACGCGGTCCGACGCGCAGCCCTTCCGCGGGAGCACTGGAGGATCCGCGAGTGGCACTGTTGCGGGCGTCGCTGTGAGAGCAGAAACACTTACAGAACTACAAGGAGGCGCCAATGCACTAATTCACCATGCCCCCACGCCCTCTCGTCGTGCGAAAGTGACGACGGACGGTTTTGATAAGCGTTCGGTCTCCAAGGGCCCCCACTGGGCCCAGGAGAGTCGTCAGAAAACGACTCGGTTCGAAACACCCTTCCCGGGGAACGCATCCAGGCCTTCGGGCGTCCACGTCGTGAAAAAATAGCACCGTCGATGTCCGGGTCCATGTTTGAATTCCAGCTGGGCCCCGCTACAACGAGGCATACGGTGCACACATAATCTGTTGCACCGTACCAGGCCTGGGTGGAAAATCGACGACACCTCGGGAAACGGCAACGCGGTGCGGTGCGCACACGTCGTCCGCGGATTCAACATAAACTTGCGAAGGTTCGCGTAGATTCAGGGAGGAGGAGGAGGAGGAGGCGGAGGAGGAGGAGGCGGGGGAGGAGGAGGAGGGGGAAGAGATGGAGGAGGAGGAGTAAGAGGAGGAGGAGCGGGAGGAGAAGGACGAGGAGGAAAACCCCTCCAGCCCAACAAAAATCCCATCGCTGGATATCAGGGGGCCGCTCGTGGGGAAACCAACAACTGTTGATACCGCTAATCCCCAGACCTCTCCTGGGGCGCGTTCTGACCAGGATTCCGAGGCGCCCCATGAGGCCCCCAAAAAGGAAAAGAGGTGAAGGGCAGACCCCGCCCCTCGCCCCCGCTCGCCGTCCAGCCTCGCCCTCGCCCGCGCCCTCGCCCTTGCCTCGAGGGCGCCCACGAGTGATGCGCCGATTTCTCACCACCACAGCCAAGGTAGGACGGGGGAAAAAGGGAGGATGGGGAGATCCTCCTCCTCTTCCTCCTTGTCCTCCTTTTCTTTTCCTCCTCCTCCTCCTCCTCCTCCTTCTCCTCCTCCTCCTCCTCCTCCTCCTCCTCTCCCTCCTCCTCCAACTCCCCCATGTCCTACCCATGGTAATGGCGGTGGAAGACCGGCCCCTCGAAGAGGGGGGCGCCCGAGGGGGGCATTCGCAGACCATGGACCGAGGCATGCGCGAGGCCCAGAGGTGGGAGGCCAAGGGACGCGCTGAGGCGAGGCGCGGCGCCATGAGATCTGGGGAGGCATCGCGGCCCCCGCTGCTCTATGCACCCCCTCCCCTGTTGACCACCCTCGCCTCGCGCCTCGCCCCGCCTCGCCCTCGACCGCGGCCCAGCACGCCCCCGGGAGGCCTGGGGACACCAAAAGGCACTGACACAGCTACCCCCCGGACCTTCCCAAGGGCGTGCCAAAACGGGGAATGCGAGGCGAGGGCAGCGGCCTCTTCCCGAGGAGGGGGAGGAGGAGGAGGAGGAGGAGGAGGAGGAGGAGGAGGACGAAAAGGAGGAGGAGGAGGAGGAGGAGGAGGAGGAGGAGGAGGAGAAGGATGGATGGATGGATGGATGGATGGATGGATGGATGGATGGATGGATGGATGGATGGATGGATGGATGGATGGCGGATGGATGGAACACCGTCACAAAGGCCATGGCGGCCGTCCGCACGCAGACGACCGTCAGGGCCCCAGAGGCCATGCACGTGGCTACGCGGCCGCGCCCCCCGAGCGCGGCCGATGTGCATCTTCGGCGGCGCCCTGGGCGCGCCCGCGCGGCCCCCCGCCGCCGCTCGCAGCCTGGGGTGGGGGGGGGGGGGGGGGCGCAGGCTGCAGGGCCCCCCCAGGCGCAGCGGTGGCCCCGCTGGGCGCCGCACTGGCGGCACCTCCCCGCCCGCTGGCCGCCGCGGCCGCGGCAGCCCGCTCCTCGACGCCGCGCGCCAACTGGGGGGGGGGGGCTGCAGAACCCCCGAGTGGCGGTAGAGGTCCTTCGGGCGCCGCGCTGGCGGCACTTCCTCGCCCTCGGGGCTGCGGTCCCCCCACCTGTTGCGCGCCGCTCCTCCGCGCGGAGCGGGCGCGCGACAACCCCTGGCTCGGGCGAGAGGCCTCCGGGCACTCAGCGAGCTGCCCCTGCCCCGCCCTGACCGACGCGCCGCCCCCCCTGGCTGCCGAAACCCCGCCCGCGCCGCCCCTCCAGCGGCGGCGCGCTCTCCCAACCGCATGCCATGGGCACGCGGAGGGCCCGCTGGCACCCCGGCTGCCTCATCCACGATGAGCGGGCGGGGGGGCCGCGCAGCCGCCCGCTGAGCTCGCCGTCGACGTCTTGCCACGGAGCCGCCTACGACTGCCCGCACCCGCCGTCATGGCCAGCCTCCTCGGCAGCAAGCTCGAGGGCGAAGGCGACGGCGACGGCGGCCCACGACGGTGCGATGCCCTGGACGAGGAACGGCTCCTGGACCTGGACCTCGCACGGGTGGCCGCGCGGAACCATGTCGGATGCGGCGGTGCAGCCATGCGCGCAGCCCGACCTCGTCTCCACGCCTCCTCGCAGAGCTCCCGCGCACGCCGCTGTCTCACGCGCGTGGCCCCTTGGCGACACGCCCTCGAAGAGGGCGCGGAAGGGCTCCGTGGCGAGGTGCTCGGTCACCTCCTCAACGCAGTGAGCCAACCAAGTGTCATACCCCCCATCACGCGCGGCAGTGCAGGGGACCCACTGCCCCGCGAGGTCCGCGCCAGCCCGATGAGGGGCCGCTCCAGCCGCTGCGCCACCTGGTAGAAATGGTAGTCCGTGGCCTCGACGGGCGGGCTGCCTTGCAGCGAGCCCGGCCCGCGCCCGTGGCCCGCTCTCAAGGCCCCAGCTGGACGCGGCGACATCGAGCCCGAGGTGTCCCCCAGGCGCGGGGCTTCCTCAGGGCGCGGCGCGCTGGCGCCTCCAGCTCGACGCGGCGACTTGGAGCCCGAGGCGTTCCCTCCCGCGGGGGCTTCCTCAAGACGCAACGCCACGGTCCCGCCGAGGTAGACCACTGGCCCGGCGTCGGACCGGCCCCGCCGCAGCTCCGAGTCACGGGCGCTGCAAGGGTAGCCCCCTTGACCGTCGCCACGCCATGCTCGGAGGGGGAAGCCGAGGCGACTCTGATTCAGCTCCAGCCCGAGTACACTGCGATGGTAGTCCCCACGACTCTCCACTACGCCGCGAACTTCGCATCCTCTGGCCGAGCCACCCCAATGCTCACCAGGACCCCGTCGAACTTTACCTCGCGGTCCCTGGCAGGGCGGCTGCCCCTCGCGACCCGACCGCACAGCGGTCGTCGCAGCCGCGGCGCCTCCGGGCGGAGGTCTAGGACAACCATCCGCTCGCGCAGAAGGACTGCCGCCAACAAGCTCCGACACGACAACTTGCGGGCCAGCGGGGGGCAGCCGCGACGGCGCACGTCGCCCCGAAGTTGGCGCCGTTGGCCCGCCCTGCCTGTCGCAGAGGATCCTGCATAACATCGCCGCCACGTTGCGCGGCCCCCTCCTGCGGCGGTTGGCCATCGTCTGGCGCTCATCGGGGTCGGCCACTGGGCGCCTCTCGCAAAGTCCCGCCGTCGCCCTGCCCCCTGCCTCCAGACGCCGGCGCGCAAGTCCGCGTCGATGGAACCGAAAGGCCGCCCAGGGAACCAACTCTGCAGGATTGCTCGCAGCGGGAGGTCGTCTCCCCCAAGCAGCATCGAGCCAAGGAGTTCCTCGCACTACTCCCGCCAGCTGGCCTCCTCGGTGACCCAGAGGGCGGCGCCGCGAAACCAGTGGGCCGCCCAGCCGCGGAGGTCGTGGCGCATGTCCTGGCAGTCGCGGGAGGCCTGACCCCGCTCTGGGACGGTGGGCGGCGTGGGCCCCATGAGTGAGGGGGGCTCCCCTGCTTTCGCCTTCCCCGCAGGCTGGGCCCTCGCCTGCCACCGCCAGTGGCGTCGACGTCCATCGCCCGCGCCGACGCGGCGGCGCGCGGCTCGGTCCGCAGGATGCCGAGGACAAAGCTGGAGACCGCGACGAGGGAGAAGGGACCGCCGCCCGCCAGGCCGCACAGCGGCCGTCACAACCGCAACACCTCGAGGCGCAGGCCCCGCCGGGGACCCGCCGTTGGGGCAACCATCCGCCTGCGCAGAAGGACTGCCACCAGGAGGTTCCGATATGACGGCTTGTGGGCCACGGGGGGGGCCCGGCGAGGCCCCGCGACGACTGAGCGGCGGCGTCGCGCTGGACCGCGCGGGGCCCGCTGCTGCTGGCGACCGCCCGCGCTGCCGGGGCCGGGGCTGCTGGCTCGCGACGCCCTCGGCGAGGGTGGCGCGCAGGCGCTGCACCTTCTGCTCGAACGCACGCTGGTCAGCGGGCGCCGGGGATCGGGCCTCGCCGAAAGGGACCACCGCACCCCCCCACGGGGCCGCAGGGAGGGCTGGGGACCCGCGGCCACTCCCCTCGTGCCGGCGGGGCGCTGCAGAGGGGGGCCTCGCCGATACTGGCTGTGTCGCAGTGGAGCATGACAGCCCCCGGGTGCGCCGCCGCGTGGTCAGTGAGTCATTGGCCTTCGCCGCAGGGGCCACGTCCGCTCCAGCCTCCGCTCTAGGCTGGCCAGCTTGCCTGGGTGGTGGTTGGTGGGCTGTCGGCCTCCCTCGCCCGTGGGCCACGCCTCGGCCCCTCGTGGCCTCCGACGGGCCCGCTGCAGAGGGGCTGGCAGTGGCCACGTCTGGGGCCGACACTGGGCGCCTCCTGCGCCCGGCGCCAAACATGGGGTTGGGCCTCCCTGTGTCCCTCGGCTGAGATCGGGAGGGCCTTGCGGCTGCCTGCATGGCCTGGCCGCGCAGGAGGTTGATGACCGCGGTGAACTGGCCTTCCGTGGTCCCATGGGGGCCTGGTCTGGCGGTGGTGGTAGCAGCGGGCCAGGTGGGGCCAACCCTCCCGATGCCACGTGGGCGATCGTGGCTGAGATGCGGCGAGCCTGCCCGATGGCCTCGGGAGGCCCGAGGTGCGTGCGACGGGCGGATGCCCCAGGCTATCCTCCCGAGCGCGTCCGCGGTCTTTCGGGAGGTGGTGCCCCTGCACTACGCCCTGAGGCCCATGCCCAGGGAGGAGCCGCAGGCGCCGCAGGTGCCGCAGAAGAAGAGGCTGTGGGCAGGCCACTGCCTCTCAACGATGCTGTGCGACTCGTAGGTGACGCCCGTGCCCATGCAGACTGGTGTGCCATGCGCGACCTCGCGGACGTGATCGAACGTGGCCCGGTCGGTGGCGGAGGCGCTGCAGGGGGCCAGGGCCGTCTCCTTGAGCGTGGCCGAGGCGAACAGCCGACGGCAGAGGAGGCACTTCCACTTGCCCTGCCCCGGCGCGAAAATCCGGTGCTCGGAGCTGTCGATGGCGGCCTGGAGCGGGGACTGGCGGGCAACCTGCTCCGCAGATGGCTTCTCCCTGTGCCAGGGGTCCCCTCCCGCCGCATCCAACAACGCCTGCCAGGCCTCCTCCTGACCTGGGATGCGATGACGTCCCATCTTACCAGCCAGGAGCATATCACTATCCCTATGCTGGGCATCGCCTCATCACGATGTCAATCTGAGGAATTCCCTTATTTTTTGAGGGCGCATCCCTAAGATTGTCATCGCCTTTTGGCATGTCAATCTTAGGGATAGGGATAATTACGTTCGAGGTTGGTAACCCATCGGTCCGCGTGGGGCACGCTGGCGTCGGTGTGGCCCTTGGCAAAGTTGGGCGCCGAGGGAGTCGAGCTCGTCGGCGCAGCAGTTGCCCATGGCCGGGTGCTGTGAAACGATGGGCTCGCCCTCGCCCTCTTGGTGGGAGGGGGTCCAGGCCACCGTAACCCGCCGGTCGGGCCTCGCCATCAAGGCCCTGCCAGGAGGAGGAGAGGGAGGACAACGACGACGACGACGACGACGACGACGAGGAGGAGGAGGAAGAGGAGGAGGAAGAGGAGGGGGAGGACCAAAAAACTTGAGGGATTGGGTGTCTGTTTTTGCAGACGCCTCAGCAGAAGCCACCCGCATGCGCAGGGACGCAGGGATAACCAGTCACCCCAAAAACACCGAGGACCCAGGCCAGGCCACGAATCCGTTGTGCCACTATGGTTACGGGCTGCATCATGCCTACTGCGAGGGGGCCCTCGGCCGCGCCGCGCGCAGCGCGCGGGCCTCGTCCGCCTCGCCCGCCTCGCCCGCCGCCCCGGCGGCCCCGCCGCCCTCGGCGGCCGCGGGCGCAGCCAGGCCGGCGGCCTCTCGGGGGGGGCGGAGGGGGGGCCTTCGGGCCTTCGGGTGCCCTCGCCGGGACCAGAAGCCACGACGCTGGCAAGAGGAGGAGGAGGAGGAGGAGGAGGAGGAGGAGGAGGAGGAGGAGGGGGCCGAGGAGGAGCCGGCCCGGGCCGGGGCAAGCACGGGTCAGTCAGGCCTTGCAGGAGTTTGCAACATCCTGCGGGATCCTGGAGGAGCCTACACCAAAGCCAGGGTCAGTGCACCCCTGGCCCTGCGGGATCCTGCAAGATCCGGCGCGCTGACTGACCCCCGTGTGTATCGACCCCCGTCTCTTGAGCTCCGAGTAATTGTCGGCCTCCGGGAACCCTCCCTGGGCCTCAAAACGACTCGGGACGAGACACCAGTTCCAAAAAAGGGAGCCAAACCTCTGGGCGTCCTCGCAGTAAACAGAAATCATGCCGTCGAGGCCTTGGCCCCGCTACAGCGCGGTACAATGCACAGGCTCTTGCCCATGGGCGCCGAAAAACGATGCACCGCACCATGCCTGGGTTGAAGCATCGACGACGCCTCAGAAAACGGCGGCCTCTCTGAACGGAGGGGAAGCCCGGAGACGCGGGCGTGCCCTCTTTGGCAGAGAGCCTCCTGCAGCACGCTGGGAGCAAGTCGGGGGGGAGGGGGCATACATGAGGGGAGGAATTCGAGGACATCGGCGACACGTCGCCGATAGCTCGGCGACGGGACCCCGACAGCGGTTCCGCACGTTCCCGGGCGGAGTGGGGCTAGCAGGCCCGAATGGGCGATCAGTGGGTGGGCGCTTGGGGGTCGATGCCCCCCCCTGTGCAAATCCCCCCGCGCTTGGGGGTCGATGGCCCCCCAGCCCCTGTGCAGATCCCCCCCGATCGTTGCCCTTGATGCACGCTGTGGAAGAGCAGGGGGGGTCGGTTTTTGGCCAGGACTGGACGGGTACAGCCAACCCGTGTCGCAAAGATGCGCGGCAAGGACGCAAGGGCCTTGGAGGCCCACGGGCAGGTTTTTTTCCAACGAGGTTGGCCAGCAAAGTGGCCAAGGATAGGCCGAATGGGGCAAGGATGCAAAGAGCGGCACCCTTAGGAAGGGTGCCCATCCTTCCTACGCGGGTTGATTATGGTTGAACCCCTCCCCCTCGCCCTAAGAATCGAAAGAAGGAGGAAGGGGCCACTCCTGGCCTGCCGGGGCAGGTTGGGACTCTGCACCACGTACGCAGAAGACGCATTCCCAATGCGTTTCACACCACGCGTGTTCGCCTGGCTTCGGGCTCGACAGCCGCCACCTCGACGCCGTGACCGAGGCCGCTGAACCGCAGGCCTACCTAGCGTCGTTCCGAAACAAAGAAAAACTGTTCGAAGAGGACGAGGATAGAGGAACAAACAACGGAATCAACATACACTCTCGGGGTTCCGCGCGGATATTTGGGGCTTGCGCTGCACCAGACATCCATGGCGCGCGGGGCGCGCCAGGGGTGGCGCCAGCGGCGCCGCCATGGGGACCCGGCGCAGATCCAAGAAATGCGCGCGGAGCGCCGAAAAACATATGTTTGTGATATTTTCTGCTCCGGAAAAAGGATTATGATCCGCCTGATGAGACAACGTCATGGGCCGCTGACGCGAGGAAGGTCCTACCAACCTGCTCGGGCGGCGCCCGAGGCCGCCGGGGGCGGCGGGCCGAGCGGCGATCCCGACGGACGGATGAAATGAGTTGGCGGGTGCGGCATCAGCCCGCAACAGTTATTTCCATTTTTAGAAACACGCTACCCCGGGAAAAACCGTCGCGGGACACATTCGGCCGTCTCGGCCTCTGGGGGGCCCTCGCCATGCCACGGGGTCTTCCACAAAACAGAAGTTTAAAAAATGCGCGTCCACCAATCGCATCTATTGGCACCGTCCCTCGCCCATCCAAGTTCCAACCATCCGCCAACTATCCAACAACTACACGGAAGACTTGGACCATCGCTTCGAATTATGCTAACGGGCGCTCAATCATTCTAACCCGCGGCCACGCGCCATGCGTTGTGTGCCAGCATGGACAACGCGCACTCGTTCATTGCTTCCTCGATCTACACAATGTGCGATGGTGCCGTATGCGTGGTTTAGACCATGTTGTGCAAGCTGTGCGGTGTGAGCGATGAGCGCCGCGCGCGTGCGCGGTGGCACTATGCGGCAACAGCTACGCGGCGCAGTGTATATGGGATACGCTGCGTGGCGCGTGGCAAGTGGCACTGTTGGCGATAGAAGTGGAAGGGGGGCACATTTGGGCACAATGAGAGGGGGCAGAAGAACTCCTGCATGTCCAACGCGCGCAAGTCGCGCACATAAGCCAGAAGGGCTAGCACGGAGAGAGATAGAGAGAGAGAGAGATGAAAAAAAGAGAGAGAGAGAGAGAGAGAGAGAGAGAGAGACAGACAGAAAGAATGAGAGAGATAATATCACGACGAGGGGGACTCGGAGGCAAAGGGGGACAGCGGCCCAAACTCTAGCGTGCTAGACTCCCCTGGGCCTCTGGTTGCTACCGCTGCGGCCTCGTAGCACAGAAAGACAGGCGAAGGGCAGCGGCGACGGGCAAGCGCCTCCTCGCCCTCTCCAGGGCGCGGGCGCGGTCCCCCCCGGTCCTCCTCCTCCTCCTCCTCCTCCTCCTCCTCCTCCTCTTCCTCCTCCTCCTCCTCCTTCTCCTCCTCCTCCTCCTTCGTCTTCTCCTCTCCTGCCTCTGCGGCCGCGGCGGTCCTACCTACGTTCGCCACCGGGCGCGCGCGCCTCCTCCTCAGCCTCTTCCTCCTCGCCTCCTCTGCCTCCTCTTCCTCCTCGGCCTCCTCGCCCCCCCCCCCCCCATCCTCTCTGCCCCCCCCCCCCCCCATCTCGCCTGAGCGCCTCGCCCACACGGGCCCGCCGAAAGGCCCCTCGAGAACGGGATTTCACGGGCAAGGTAACGGCCCCCCTTCATCAACCGAGCACAGAACCCCCCTGCAAAGGAGGTCGCGGAGGCCAAATTGCCCTTTCCGGGGCCCGAGTGGGCGAGGGGGTCGGCCGGCGCGCGGCCGTCGGGCAGCCAACTAGCTGGCGAACCGACACCCGCCACGCTGTCTCTCGCGACCGCCAGCTCCACGGAGTTCTGCCCGCCAGTTCGAGAGCCCGCGGCATTGAGGGGCAAAGTGTCGAAAACTCTTTTGGCATCGACGACGATGGACGGGGCTTCGGCCTTCCTTCCAAAATCTCACGCCCGAGACAAAATGACTCAGAAAGTGGCGGCCACTTCGCGCCAATCTGGCCCGGGCACGTCGCCGCGCGCGGCGTCGCGCCGCAAAACTTGGGGCCACTGGGCCCCTGCCGCCACGCAGCTCGGGGAGAGGGCCTCCGCCGCCGCGGCGGAGGCAACGACGCGCTTCAGACGCTGCGATCTAAATGAGTGAAGGGGCGCGTTGGCTTGAACATGATCTCGGACCCTTGAGCCAGCTGCGAGCGCGAGCCAGCCCCCTGCGCCCGACGCGGCAGCAAACGGGAAGGGGGGGGGGGCAGCGCCCGAATCGCGAGGCGCTGCGAAGCCGCCGCCTTGAGATAGCGAGAATCTTCACAAGGATCAGAGCGTCGGCCACGGCAGGGCGCGGCGTCGCCAAAACTGAGAGACGCCCCGCCGGCAACGTCCGGGCGGGGCCCCGGGCGGGGCTCTCGCGCGACCCGCTGCACTTGGACGATCGCAGCTCTGCGCGAGCGCACCCCTTCAGGAAGAAGGGGGGGCCCTGCGTTAGTTGTTCGACACTTGCCCAGATTGAAGACACTCAACTGTTCTCGAATGCGTCTCCTGGCCCTGGGTTTTTCGGCCACCATGCTGCTTGAAGAGCCCCCCCCCGCAATCCGCCCCCGACCCCTGCCGCCCCCGCGAATGGAATAGCGAGGTCGAGCTTCTCCTGGGCCCAGGGGCGAGCGCATTTGTGCCCGCCGCGATCGGATCACCCGCCTCAATCAAGATCAGGCACTCGAGGGCCCCCCACTTGTCTCTTCAACCAGAGGCACGGTTCCAGCATCGACTTAGCGAATCCCAAATACCCCGCCAGGGCGCGGCACCGCAGGAGCGGCGCATCGTTGAATCCGCGCGCGGGCGCCGCGAGCTCGATGAACTGGCCCGAAGCTACGGGGGGGGGGCTCTGGCAGGTCCACATGCATCGCCCCGCCTCAGTTTTTCCACTCCGGCAGGATGCGCCCTTAGCATCCGAAATGTTCAGGGCCCAGCAGAGGGGCACAACGATCTGCATGGCTGCCACCACGCTCTCGGCCCGGGGGGGGGGGGGGGGGCATTCCCGAAGGGATTCGCCATCGGGAGCCCGGCGGCCGTGAGCGCGTCATCTCGACTTGGCTATGCGCTGCTCCCCCGCCCATTCCGCCGGCCCCCTCCCTCGGGCCGTCCTGGAACTCAGAATTCGATATGGATGCCTCCTGCGAGCGGCCCTGGGCCCCCCCCCGGGAAATGATTAACCCTGACGGCCCCCGTGGACACCATGGCCCACCATCATTTAAAGTCGGCCCGTTCAAAATCCTGGCGCCCCTGCGGCGCCAGGCCTTCCCAGAGCACCTCGGCCGCGCGAGGGCGCGGAAGCTGGCCGAGAAAAGGCGTCGGCCATCGAACTCCACTCGCGAAGCTCGCCGATCAACCTACGATCCTGTTCTTCGCCCGCTTCGCCCCAGAACCCCAGGCCCTCCTCGAGGCCCGCCGACTCGACCGCGAGGTCATCGAGGTCCTCGGGGTCGGGGCCCCCAAAGGTCCCGGCACGGCCCAGGGATCGACTTCCAGCTCGCGAGTCGCCCTGCCCAGGTGGCGACGCCGCCTCGCCCCCGCGAGGCCGGCACATGCCCGAGGCGCGCCCGGCGCGCGGCAGGAGCGCGTCGCGCCCCGAGCCCAAAGCCCTGAGGGGCCTCGGCGGCTCGAGGGGCGGGCGCCGTCTGAACCCGCAGCCACTCCATTATGGGCACGTCAGCCCCCTCCTGGACAGCGGCCTCGCT